CCCCCCCGACCCCCCCGCCGGTGATTTTTGTACGGATCCCCGCTGCCACAGACCCTACAAGCAGTGGGGATCCATGGAGTCCCTCATCCCTCCCTGGGATGGCTCCAGGGAGGGATGAGAGACTCCAGATGCCGGCGGCGGTGCCGGGGGGGGGGGTGGGGGCGCCCGGTATTTTTGATAATAGCAGTCATCAGCGGCTTGTGAGCCGCTGATGACAGCTATTAATTTAAAGGGGACAGTCTGCTGAACAGTTCTACTATAAGCTGATGGTCGCTAAAGCGACCATCAGCTTATAGTAGAACTGTAAATGCCAGGTCCGTATGGCATACTGAGCTGGCCAGCTGGAAGCACTTTTGTAGGTCTGTATGCCATACGTCCTTGGCAGCGAAAGGGTTAAAGCTCAGTTTCACATGTATCAATTTGTTTGTAGCACTTGTGTGTTTACCCAGCAGTTTCCATTTATATATCCAGGGCTAGTTACTCACAATGATCCTTGGTGTGTTGTCCGAGGTTACCTCTATTCATCTGATCTCACAATCATTGTTAGAGTACTGTGATGCAAAGTATGGGAAATCTACCATAGCACTCCCCTGAACTCACTAAAACACCAGGTTGATGTCAAATTTATTCTCCAAGTTTAATGGTCATTCAGGAACAAAAACAATTGCATTGTGCTCTATGTTTATATCTATACCTTTGGATCGCAGCTCACAATATCAGCATCTTATTAAGCTGCCTTTATAAGTATCTTTCTAGTTGGCAAAGCATCCTTTTGCTTTTACTCTTGCAAAGGATTGATGTATCTGCTTCCATTAATTGTAAAAAACACTCCTACAGACACAATGGTTTTAATTTACTAAAAGCAAAATTTTCATTTTACAAGGGAATTTTCCATTAGCTTAGCAAATTAAGTGAAACTCTGCTGATTTCCATCATCCAATCATGGTCAAGCAAAAATACTGTTTTTTAACAGTACTTTTTATTTTGCTTTCGCATGGTTGGGTATTCATTGCAAAGTGAATTTTTTCCACATTCACTAAGCTAAAACAAAATCACTTTGCAAAGTGAACATGCTTAACCCTTTTAGTAAATCAACCTCAATATCTCTTTACTCATTACATTTTCTAGTATCTCTGGCTTTCTCAAGAGGGATAATGTGCACAGTTGATAGTGTGATGGTTGTTCTCATACATACATCTTTTATAGAAATTAAATGGATTTTCCTATATTTTTCAGCACAGATTAAACTTTTTTTTTGGCATGTATGGTTGATATATTGGTTTATTAAAAGCATCTGTACAATTCAATTGTAAATCAAATAAAAATGTCAGTAATTGGAGAGTTCATTATTAAAATTAAATACAAAATACCAATGGTACATAGCAATGTGGTTTATTTCTTAAATGCGTTTATGTACAATAATTGTTTGACAACAGCTTTTTTGACATCTTGGTTTTTCAAAGTGTATATGATTGGGTTCAACATTGGTGTAACAACACTATACAGGACTGAAATGACCCTATCCTTATCTAAAGCATGTGTTGAAGCAGGTCTCACATAGTTGGAAATAGAGCTACCATAATATAATATAACTACTGCAATGTGAGAAAAACAGGTAGAGAAAGCTTTTACTCTACCTTTATTGGATCTTATTTTCAGAATAGTCACAATAATGTAAATATATGATACAGTAATGCACAGGAAGGGTGTCCATGCTATGAAAACACCAACAGATTGCAATAAAAGCTCATTCAAAAATGTATCGTCACAAGACAGAGAAAGTAGTGGCGGTATATCACAAAAAAAGTAGTTAATTTGGTTGGAACCACAAAAGTCTAGACTGAAAGTAAAACAGGTGTGGATTATAGAATTCAGGAGACCACTAAGCCATGAGGCACCTGCTAGAATGTTGGTAAGTTTAGAGTTCATGATCACCAAATATTGCAGAGGGCTGCATATGGCTAAAAAACGATCATAAGACATAATTGCAAGAAGAATGCACTCTGTTCCAACACACGAAAAGAAGATATAGAGCTGAATTACGCAACCAATGAATGAGATTGTTTTTTTATCCACAAGCAGTACTTGTAGCATTTTGGGCATGGTTGTTGATGTATAACAAATGTCCAACAAAGAGAGATTCCCTAAGAACATGTACATTGGAGTGTGGAGTGTCTTGTCCAAATAAGATACCAATAGAATGGTAAGATTTCCTGCTAAAGCTACTACATATATTAGAAGCACAAGAAAAAACAGCAATGATTTGACATAGGGTAAATCTGATAATCCAAGTATTTCAAAGTTTGTAAATCTTGACTGATTAACTCTCATTTTAAAAGTCAATTTCTTTATTAGCAAAGATGATGAACACACACCTAATACAGCTGGTTGTAGGACTGCACATTCTCAGTTTCATCTTCTCTACTATTATTAAGCCAGCACTGAAAGTGAGATAAAAATATTTATGTTTATTTTACCTTTCACATAGCTAAGAAACATTTCAGAATCAGTAAACTCTGTAACCATTTTCAATTGATGTAAATTGTCTTTTAATTTAAAGTATATCTGAACACAACAACAAGGACATTTTTGAGACAATACATCCTGATTCACACCTACAATGTAGGTGCATTTAGTGATTCCTGCATCAGGAACTTGTGATTTCCTGCAGCAGGATTCCCAAATCTGCAATTTACAAGTAGCAGCTGTCACCCATTCAAGTTGATGATTGAGTGGCAGCTGTTGCATTTGAAGATGGCAGAAAGCTGACACACCACATGTAATCATATTTGATGGGATTACAAACAGTTAGGAATCAATCACTATTCCTGGAGCCACGATCAATGCTTCCAGGCATAGTGATTGATTCCTAACCGTATGTAACTGTATCACATATGATTTCATGCAGTGTGCCAGCGTTCTGCTGCTTTCAAAGGCACCTGCTGTCACCTGATCATTAACTTGAATGGGTGACAGCTGCCACTTGTAAACAGCAGAATTGGGATTCCTGCTGCAATAAATCACAAGTTCCTGATGCAGGAATCCCTATACGCACCTAATAGATGTGAATGAGGGATAAATGTCCCTGTCGTTTACATAATTTTGGAATGCTAGTGATACTTTCTCTTTTTTTCATTGAGGCTGTACACGACAGTGCCTCACGTCATTTATTTTACTACTGCACCCAACATTCAGAAGGGGTCAACAGCTGTTCAGAGTTTGCTGGATTACAGGGACCGCCATTAAGGAGCTTTCCCCTCACTTTCTGTCCTTCAAATACAACAAGAAATGATAGGAAACTTTCTAAAGGAAGAGAAGTCCTCTCTTTGACATGTTGTCACTGTAACAAGTGTTCCCACTGAAAAATGTCCCCTCACGCCGTTTCTGTGACAATTTAAAATTAACAATTATATTATTAACAATATTGAAGTTGGTATTAATAGCCCCATGTCAGTGTTTTCTGATGATACCAAAATTTGTAGGGCATTAAATTCAACACAAGACATAGCAGCATTACAGTAAGACCTTAAAATAGGGGGGGTGAACAACTACATGTCAGATAAGGTTTCATATTGAAAAATGTACGGTAAAGCGTTTGGGTGTTAAAAATATGCATGTAAGCTACTCATTAGGGGGAGCTCCTCTGCGGAAATCAGAGGTGGAAAAAGATTTGGGGTGCTAGTTGACTGCAGACTGAGTAACAGCATGCAATGCCAGGCTGCGGCAAATAAGGCAAGCAGATAGCTATCATGCAAAAAAAGGGTATTTGCTCCGGAGACAAGTCAATTATTCTACTGCTATATAAAGCAGTGGTTCAGCCTCATCTTGATTGTGCAGTTCAATTTTGGTCACCGATCCACAGAAAGGATATCCTTGAGCTGGAGAGAGTCCAGAGAAGGGCAACAATCTACTAAAGGGGCTGGAGAATCTAACCTATGAGGAACAATTACAAAGATTACACTACACTCTTGTTTAATGGTGACGGTAGTATCAGTAATAAACTGCTTCCCCTCCACTCTGGCAGTCTAAGGTCCTGTGAGTCATCACATCCTATACGGTGTATAGGACCTGAGAACACTGATGGACAGTCCATTGCCGGAGTGGAGGAGGAGACAGGTGGCAGGCACCAGAGTAGCAGCCAGCTGGCTCCAAGGTTCTGGTGAGTATAGCTTTGTTATTTTCATCCCTAGATGAAAACGAGCTCTTAACCAGTGCAGTGGTAGCCCTACGGCAATGTTAAGAATCATTTTGCCCAAAGTTCTCCTCTTTAAGGCATACGGCAGAACAAAAATGTCTCCAGCTGGAGAGGTCACTATGTCTTAAGTCAGCTGCATTCACTCTTCTGCTAGAAGCTCATGATCACTTTGGGGACCATGAACATATAACAGAAGAGTCCCTTCTGTGCTAAAGAATAGCTGTCATCAGCAGCCGACTAGCTACTGATGACAACCATTCATTTAAAATCAGCTTCCCCCTGCTGTCACTGCCACTACCGCCACTCTGTACTCTGCCTGCCGCTCAATTCTCCCCATTGGCTTCCGGTAATCTGCTCCCTTACATGTCCCTCTGTGTCCCCTCCAATTCCCACTGCTCTCCCCCACCTGTATTAGCAGAGACAGCAGGGATCAAAGGGGACATAGAATGGAGAATACTGCCAGTATACATCAGAGAGTGAGCTGCAGGCAGTTAGGATACAGTGACATGTGGGGTAGGGTGGAGTGGGTTCAGGATGACAAACAAAGGATCGGTAAATATGTGAAATAGTTTTCGATCAGTCACTTCACTGAGGGGACGTCACTAGATGGATTTCATCAAAATCAAATAGACTATATTTTCTGGCTAAACAAAGAAAGAATCCAATTTTAATAGCAAAGACATGGCCTGCCATGATCTGTTAATATGCATGCTTTAAGGTGATTGAAAAAGAAACAACCATCAGTCTTCCAAGATACAACCAAAATACAAGTTGGAAAACACACCAAATGTCAAGAACAGGTTTCAGATGTTAAACTTACAGGGTTATTCACAAAAGGGTGAACAGTTTGGATTGGGCAGGAGAAGCGAACAATCTAGGACAACATAGCTGAACTGGAAAGTGAGCTGAATTGGAGAATGTTTCCAAATCATCTATGTTGTCCTACATTGTTCACTTCTCCTGTCTTCTCCAAACTCTTCACCCTTTTGTGAATAACCCTGATAGTTAATAGAGAACCTGATGAAATAAAAGATGAAATAAAAATATTTGAATTTTTTCTCCCTTGAGAAAGTGACTAAAGGGGTATATAATCACCATGTATAAATACATACATGCACACAATTACATGCAGCACCTGTCCTTTCTGGAGTAGTTATTTTATGGGCGTGCACACTGAACTGGCATGTACGCCCATCTGAATGAACCCTAATAGTTTATGGGGTTAAATTGATAATTGCTTTTGACCAAAATGATTAAAAAAATTAAGCAGCAACAAAAGATGTGCAGGGGAATGTATCAAAACTAGATCAGTTGCCCATGGCAACCAATCAGCTTCTCTCTTCAGTTTGTTCAGTTAAGATATGAAAATGAAAGAGTGAAGCTGACTGGTTGCAGTGCACAGTGCACAGATTTTGTCTGCTTTAGTTTTGATAAATTAACCTCATGGTTTCCTTCCTTGAAACTGCATTAATTCCAAAATCAGTCAATAATCAATCAGACAAAATAAATGTTTTTTGGGGGGTTTTGTGAGAAAGGACTATGACCAGCCATGATACAAGAATGTTTCATGCTAACCATAGAGGCATATTTGGAAAGTAGTGAATGGGACAGTCATCAAACATTAGGTGCAGGTGAATCTTCCTGATGTATGTGTTTTAAGTTACACTGATTCACTTTCAGTGAATGATTAGTGAATCTCAGATTCACAGCTTTATAAATGTGCCACTGAGTGAATTTAACACTGTCAGAGAAGGACATTCATAGAGACAAATACTTGCCCACTTAATAGACATTCTTCGACAAACAGCAGACTGAAGACTAATGCCTGGACAGAAAGGGCAAACCAGAAAGCTGCCTTATGTATTCAGCAATAAATATTGTCCACAGAAAAGTCCCTTATCATATACTGAACTGGTGCTATTTATATTAGTGTGCTGTGTTGTGTGTGCTTTCTAATCAACATAATCAGGAGGCAATTAAAGTTTGTTACTAACACGCATGTGTTACAATATTTTCCATGTAAATTCATTTATAAATTAACAATATTCCCAAGACAAATGCCATCCCCAATTCCCAAATCACATGAGAAAAATAATGATGTGAAGAATAACAGTTACAACAAAGATCTGTATACTACCTGATATAGCAGTGTGCATTTACTTTGTAGGGATGTAATATTTTCTGCTAAATTAAATTTTTGTATTTTGTCTTTTGCTCCCTCTCCCGCCACTCCAGGCACTGCCAGGCAGCACGACATCCTGCTGTGTGGGATGACCCACTCCTCTGCTCCACCACGGCTGCTGGAGCAACTCTCCCTCCTGGTACAAGGCCGCAAAAGAAAAGGTGATGCAGGTGAAGCTGGTACTGCTAAGCAGGGGTGTCTAGGTGGGTGAAGGCTGGTACAGGGGGGGCCTGGGTGGGTGAAGACTGAGAGGGGTGTAAAGACTGGTGCAAGGGGCCCGGGAGTGCCTGCTGGAGAGGATATAGATTGGTACAGGGGGGCCCATGGTGGCTGAAGACTGAAGAGTGGTACAGGGGGGCCTGGAGAGGGTGAAGACTGGTACAGGGGGGTTAGGGTGTCTAGAGAGGGTAAAATGCTGTATAATGTATTGCTGAGATTTGTAGTCCTCTATAGCTGGTGGTATTCTGCATTGCTGTATAATGTATTGCTGGGATTTGTAGTGCTATATAGCTGGTGGTATTCTGCATTACTGTATAATGTATTGATGTGCTTTGTAGTTCTTTATAGCTTATGGTATTATTCTGCATTGCTGTATAATGTATTATTGGAATTTGTAGTCCTCTATACAGTGGCAGAGCTACCAGGGTCGCACTGGTTGAAGCTGCAACCAGGCCCTAGCATTCCTCCATTTGGGGGGGTCTGGACAGGAGGAAGAGGGCCCCGATAACCACCGGCATTGCTTCAGTCTGGGGCCCTCCATCCTTCACACTGCGCCTGGATCGTATGTATCACAAAACTCCACATCAATAAAACACAGTAATGTGCAGTGTGTGAGTGCATCACAGACTCTAAAGCAATAAAACTTAGAGTAATGTGCAGTGTGGATGACAGACCCATTTTATTGACAATAATGTTCAAATGTTGCTTGTCAGAGATTCTATTCCTGTACACAAA